GAAACATTTTCCCGAAGCACTTGCAGTTTACAACCTTCAATGCTTTAACTCCTGATTTCTCAGTTCTGCTTTCCTGTACGTCCAGTCTTCACAAGAAGTAGTTAACAGTGGGCAGTGCAGTCTCCATTCAGTCTGTTAGCTTGGAGAAGGAAGGAGGAGGAGGTGTGAGGAGCATGCCTAGCCATCCTATGCTATGGTCTTTGTATTTCTATTAATGCACACAATGTAGGGAGATACAACTCTAGTCCCTGCATGCAAGGGTAACTTCACAGGATGCAGCAAGAAAAGGGGCCATGCTGAAACAGGAAACCTGGTTCAGCCATTCACAGCAATCATATGACCCAAAGGCCCGCTTCCGCCTCCTGACATCTAGACACTCTTAAAGGGCTGGGAGGGTATATTATTACTTTGAAAGTTAATTCCACCGTTAGCAACATGTTACATGTTGCACCTTTTACTCAGATGTAACTTGTAACATACATCAATAAACATGCTCATAAACTGGTCAGTGTATGCATATGTCTCTCCAGACTTCATTCAAAACTAGAGAAAAATCTAATTTCTGTTCAGTTAAATAAGATTTGCAAGGTTTTGACTAACTGTAGTTTGTATACTAACCTGTTCCTGTTTTGCATGGAGGTTGAATTTACTCCTGTTCACGTTGTTGATTTGAATGCTAGTTATTTGATAGGATAGGATATGTGATAGATCAGAATGTGATTATAAGGAACATTGTACCCCCGGCGTCCTGCACAATGTGTGATGCAGTAAACCTAAAGACTAAAAATAAGCAAAACTGAGAGTTTTTATGTTCACAAAGGTTTGATGAAAATCATGAGATTTCAATGAAATCTCGTCAACTGTATGGAGACAATGGGAAAGAAAAAATTCTGTTTTTTTGTGGGTTTTAAAGGTACAAAGAGTTTTAAATGGCTCTTGAATGTTATACTCAGGGCTTTTTTTTTGAGAGAATAGGTGCAGGTACTTTTTTTGAGTCTCTCCTTGTCTCCACCCCCTACCCACCTCCAAGCACCATCCTTTGGTCCCACCCCCCTACCCACCTTCCAGTACCGCTGTGACGGGAGTGACTTTTGGGGGTGGGGGGACCAATGTTGTTCCTCTTGTGTGTAGCCCACCCTGTGCCTGTTAGGGGTACAGGGTGGTCTGTCCTGATATTGTGTAAACATGTATAGGTGGAGTGTGGGGGTTGTTCATTGTTTACTGCCATGTGGTCCCATTGTTCTATTATGTGTTTGTGTATTGACTTGGTGGGGGTGTCCTGATGGGACTGTCTGTTGGGATGTGTCTCTGGTTGCTAAATTTGGTTTGCCCACCCTGTGTCCTTATGCAGGGAGGTGGGTTGTTTCCTTGAATGTTTATATCTTGTGTCTGTGGTAAAATAAAGCAGTTGCCTTCCTGTCTTAAGAAGAGTCTGTCTTATTTCCTGTATGATCAGCGGTGGTGTCCGGGGATTTGTGTTTCGGACGGGGAAGCTGGAGTCTAACGGAAATATCCTAGCGCAGTCGGGGTCCGGTTCCGTTACAACCACCCTTATAGAGAATTCAGAACCAAGTATCATTTTCCATTGTTAAGTAATTTGTATGGAATTTGTTAATGATAGCAATAAAATCAGTAAAATAGATCCCCTGCAACAGGGGTGGACTGACAACTCATGGGGTCCCGGACCTTGGAAATAGGAAATCATAGGGCCCCTGTGACCTTGCACACACTCAAACCACACCCAGAAAAGCCTATAAAAGGTACCAGGGGCATCTCATAGGGCCACCTGCTGACCCCGGGCCCTGGGGCAGTGCCCGAGAGCCTAAATGGTCAGTCTGCCCCTGCCCTGCGGCCAACAACAATAGACCTTCCCAACAACAATAGATCTCCCCAGCATCAGTAGACCCCCAGCAGCAAAAAATCCCCCAGCAGCCAGCAACAGTAGACCCTATAGCACACCCCAGCACCCATTGCCATTTTCTACATTAAGTGCTGAAGGTGCCAGAACTGTATCCCCCCCACGTTCCGGCTGAAAAAAAAGCTCTGGTTATACTCCTGATCTTGTGCCAGCTCCTTATTATTTTAAAAAGAGACACAATTGTAAAGTGACATTACACAAATAACAAATACACAGAATAAAACACAAATGAAACTAAAATGCAACACTTCCCAAAAAACTCACCCTCTTGCCTAAGAAACTCAATAAGCAAAACTGAGAATTTTGCTTTGGTGAAATTTCGCCAGCAGCAAAATCAATTTAATTGTAATCACTCTGCTCATTCTAACTAAGCACATTTGGGCAGGCATTCCATACCCAATCAAGCGAACATGAAAGCCAGAGGGCACCAGATAGAGCAGATCAAACATTTATTGATAAAAACAAAAATGTAAGGCACATAATGGCAAACCTCTGGAATAATGACAAACCTCTAGAGATAAGTATCATTTTATACAAGTGTCCCCTTCACACAAAGCCAGTAAATGAAGAATGAAAATAATTGGAGCATGTGTTTCAAGATGACCGCCTGCTGACCATGCAGCCATAGCCAAATGCATGTAGCAATATTAAGTCTCTTCTGGCAGTTTTACAGCCATGCTACTATAGAGGTGCTTACATGTTTTAAAGTGGTAGTAAATTCGTTTTTTCACTTGTACCTACAGGTAAGCTAATAGTAAGGCTCACCTGTAGGTACTTTAAATATCTCCTAAACGTGCATCATTTAGAAGATATTTACTTGTAAAGGAGCAGCAGCACATGTGTTGTGAAGGAACGGCATGCCCGTGCTATTCCTTCAGAGCTGTGTGCCTTAAAAAGTGACTCCCGTATGCATGCACGGGAATGATGTCACCGTGGCTCGACTATTCAAGCCGCTGGAGCACGCAACCCTGGAAGAAGGACAGGTGAAGATGGAAGCCCTGTCAGCGGTAACAGTGCACCGCAGGAAGAATTAGTTTTTAGGTAAGTTCCACATAATGTGCTAGTATGCCACGCATGCTAGCACACCATAACATTGTCTTGCAGTTTTTTTTTTTTGGTTTGTTTAACGCTTGCGGTTTACTACTGCTTTAACCACTTTTCCACCGCCCTATATTATTATTATTATTATTATACAGTATTTATAAAGCGCCAATAGTTCGCTCAGCGCTGTACATTACAAAAGGGAGACAGAACATGTGACAGAACAATACCAATACAATGCAAAACATGAGGGGATCAAGGGCCCTGCTCTTTCGAGCTTACAATCTAGGAGAGAGGGGGTGGTGGCACAGGAGGAGATAGCTGTGGGGGATGGAGTGGTAGGAAGAGTGGAGGAGGTCGGCAAGTTAGCCGGGGGTGGGGTAGGCTTCCCTGAAGAGATGGGTTTTCAGGGTGCGCCTAAAGGAGAGGAGAGTAGGTGATAATCTGATGGGTTGGGGCAGGGAGTTCCAGAGGATGGGTGACACCCTGGAGAAGTCCTGGAGGCGGGCATGGGAGGAGGAGACCAGGGAACTAGAGAGAAGGAGGTCTTGTGAGGAGCGGAGTGTGCGTGCTGGGCGGTACTTGGATATTAGGTCAGTGATGTAGTTCGGGGCAGTATGGTGGACAGCTTTGTACGTCAGCGTTAGGATTTTGAATTTGATCCGTTGCGCAATCGGAAGCCAGTGGAGGGATTGGCAGAGGGGGGTGGCGGAGACAGTGCGGTTGGAAAGGTGAATGAGTCTGGCAGCCGTGTTCAGGATGGACTGAAGAGGGGATAGCCAGCGGCGAGGCAGGCCAGTGAGGAGGGAGTTGCAGTAGTCGAGTCGTGATATGATGAGGGAGTGGATGAGCTGTTTAGTGGTTTCTGGGGTTAGGAACGTGCGGATTTTGGCGATGTTGCGGAGGTGGAGTCTGCACGAGTTTGTTAAAGATTGGACTTGGGGCTGGAAGGATAGGTTGGAGTCCAGAATGACACCCAGTACTCTGGCCTGCAGGGCGGGTTTGATGGTAGCGTTGTTGGATGTGATGGAGAAATCAATGGGGGGTGGTGTCCGGGCTGGGGGGAAGACAAGAAACTCGGTTTTGGAGAGGTTCAATTTAAGGAAGTGGAGCGACATCCAGTCTGATATGTCGCTCAGTAGGTGTGTGATTCGGGCTGAGACCAAGGGGGTGAGGTGGGGGGGTTGAGAGATAGATATGTGTGTCGTCGGCATAGAGGTGGTAGTTGAAGCCGTGAGAGTGTATGAGTTGGCCAAGGGAGGAGGTATAGATGGAGAAGAGAAGGGGCCCGAGGACAGAGCCTTGAGGGACCCCAACAGAGAGGGGGAGTGAGGGGGAGGTGGTAGCATTATAGGTAACACTGAAGGAGCGTTGTGACAGGTAGGATGAGAGCCAGGAGAGAGCAGAATCTCTGAGGCCGAGGGAGTGTAGTTTTTTGAGGAGAAGGGGGTGGTCGACTGTGTCGAAGGCCGCAGAGAGGTCAAGGAGTAGGAGCACTGAATAGTGGCCATTAGCTTTGGCGGTTAGCAGGTCGTTGGAGAGTTTGAGTAAGGCAGTTTCGGTGGAGTGTAGGGGACGGAAGCCGGACTGTAGGGGATCGAGGAAGTTGTTGTCGTTGAGGTGAGAGCATAGGCGGGTGTAGACGAGGCGCTCGAGGAGTTTAGATGTAAATGGGAGCAGGGAGATGGGTCTGAGGTTGTTCGGGTCATTGGGGTCCAGGGAGGGCTTTTTAAGTATGGGGGTGATGTGTGCATGTTTCAGAGGGGAGGGGAAAGTGCCTGAGGAGAGGGAGAGATTGAAGATGTGGGTGAGGGAGCGTAGGATGGAGGAGGAGGAAGGTCGTAGGAGTTGTGAGGGGATAGGGTCGAGGGGGCAGGTGGTGAGGCGGGCATCAGAGAGGATCTTGGAGACTTCCTCGATGGTAGTAAGGTCAAAGATATACTGCAACAGGGCGGCAGGGGTGTGCAAAATCACATATATATATATATATATATATATATATATATATATATATATATATATATACGTGATTTTGCATTTCCGGGTATTTGTGGCCTCGACTGTCAATCACTGGGTCCTAGCCGGTGATTACTCGCCGGCACCCAGTGACTGCCGAGTAATACTGATGGGGGAGAGAACTGTATTTAAACAATACAGTTCACTCCCCTGTCAGCTCCTGCACACTGCTATCCATGGCTTTGCATAGCAGAGCCATGCAAAGCAGTGTGCTTACATTGAAGCACACACACAGATTACAGTAACACAGCACACAGCACACAGGTAACCCTTTGATATCCTCACATGTTAACCCCTTCCTGCCCAGTGCCAATAGTACATTGTCAGTGGTTTTTATTAGCACTGATCACTGTATTGGTGTCACTGGGGATGCCAGTGACACCAAGTCAGTTCCTCCCAGTGTCAGAATGCCTGCCGCAGTCCCGCAGTCCCACTGTAGGTCGCTGATCACCGCCATTACTATTAAAAATAAAACATAAAAAAAAATCCCAGTATCTTTCCCGCCATTTGTAAACACTAGAACTTTCACGTAAACCAATTAATTTACATGTATTGGGATTTTTTTTTAGCAAAGACATGCAGCAGAATAAATTTTGGCCTAAATTTATGACGACATTTGATTATTTACATTTTTTCAGTGGACATGTTTAACCTCTTCCATACGGGGCACTTTAACCCCCTTCCTGCCCACGCCAGTGTTCTGGTTTCAGAGCTGTCACACTTTGAATGAAAATTGCGCAGTCATACAACATTGTACCCAAACTAAAATGTTATCATTTTCTTCACACAACTAAAGTTTTCTTTTGGTGGTATTTAATCACCACTGGGGTTTTTATTTTTTGCTAAATTAACAAAAAAAGACTGTTTCTGTTATAAAAGTTTGCAAATAAATTATTGTTGTTCATAAATTTAGGCCAAAATGTATTCTGCTACATGTCTTTGGTGAAAATAACCCAAATTAGGATGTATTATTTAGTTTGTAGGAAAGTTGTAGAGTTCAAATACTATAGTATGTATCTGAAAATTGATCAATCCTGAAGTACTGACAGCCAATCTAATTTCTTGAGGTCCAAGAATGTCAGAACAGTACAGATATCCCCCAAATGACCACTTTTTGCAAAGTAGACAGTCCGACCTATTTCATAAGATGCATGGCCATACATACTACATACTGTCACCGGTGCAGTACAGCGTCATCATATAACTGGCATGGCGGTGATCAGGGACACTGACTGGTAACAGTACAAAAAAAATATATATTTTTTTAAATTGTTTTTATTAGTTTTTATTTTTTATTAAATTTATTTCTTTTTTTTAGGATTTTTTTTCATATTTCACTATGACCAAAGTAGTATAATGTTACCATAGTAACATTGTACTACTTTGGGGAAGTTTTGTTTTGTTTTACACAATTTGCTTATAGCAAAGAATTACTTTGCTATAAGCAAGCATTTACCTGAATAACATCGATTCATTCAGGGTTTTTTTTTTTTTTTGTGCTTAGCTGTATTTTGGCCACAGCTAATCACATGACACAGCTGGGCTGTGATTGTCCCAGCTTGCGCATGTGATCCCTGTGACCATTCACAGCTAGACACACTTGTATACTATGGATGGCATGAAAAGAAGCCATCTATTGTATACAACTGTCATGATTAGTCACAGCAGGTCACATGGTACTGGCAACGGGGCCGGTACACAGATCTGTCATCAGCCGTGTTCGAGGTACGCGACCGGTGACAGATCATGCCACAGAGCGGCCTTGCAAGCAGGCGCGTTGCGCATGCCTGAAAGGACGCCATATGGCGTGCACCCGGAGGGATGAGCTGTTCGCGATCAAATACCACCGAAAGAAAGCTCTATTTGTGGGGAAAATAAGGCTGTTGATTTAATTTGGGTACAACGTTATACGTATAACTGCACAATTGTCAGTTAAAGTAAAGCAGTGCGGTAATGCAAAAAAGGCCTGGTCAGAAAGGGGGGAGGTAAATCTTTTGGAGGGCAAAGGGTTAAGGCTCTGCCTCTTTCTCAGAGTGGTGGCATAGACCTTTTCTGGTAAGTAACACTTCTTGCTGTATGATGTATTTCTATGTCATAACCTATTGAATGGAAATGACTTCAAGATCTGTCTTGTCTTTCAATAAAGGAAGTAAGTAAATGACAATGGCAGGAACGTAAGAATATACAGGTATATTTTTTTATTGTTTAGTATGAACTATTTATATAGCACTTTATGTATGTACAATTTTATTATATCTATTATACTGTTTTTCTTTAAACCAAAATGGGACCCCCTCCCCAAAGTTCTGCTTCTGTTTTCAAAGATGTCCTGCTGTTGTAATATTGCAAACTCATCTGTATTCCCAGTGTAACACTGCATTAATACTGATCGCAGGATGTTAATTAACCACAAGATGGCAGTGTTCTGTGGTTCAGTTATTCAGACTTTATTGAAGCAAAGCCATGTTGAACTTGTATGCTGATGGCAGGAATTCTGCACTCAGACACAAAGAGTGACCAGACTGCATTACCCAGAAGAGCTGGAAAATGGTGGGATCCTATAAACTGAGAAGCCCTTTGAGAAGAACTTTACAGGAAGGAAGTGGATGGTGAGAGGCGGAGGATATGTGTGTGGAGAAGACTATGTGGAACTTAGGAGATCCAGGCTGGATCAGGGCCTCATTGCATAGCGGTAAAGAGAGACTGCAGATTGCTGCTATCACTAATGAGCAGGAAAGGCAATCCTGCAGGCAGGTGGATCATAGTGCTGCCATCTTCCTTGACAGAGAGATCAAGAGAACACGGGGACCACCCAAAAGAGAATAAAAAGAAGCTAAATGGTATGGGATCCTCCTGCGCTCATGGGAATAACTAACACAATACAGCTGCTGTCACTTTAACTAATACCAATAAGTGCAAGAAATAAACATAAAGTTAGTGAAGCGCTTGTATCTCATGAATACAATCATGTGTCTCCATAAAGTATAATAGTAAATCAAAGTGACCACTATATATATTAAAAATATGTGAACTCCCTCTAGTGGATAGAAAAAATAATGTCAACCGAAATGACTATAATAGCTAAATATCACACATTAAGAACCTAAATATGTAGTGCATAAATCAGATATACTAAACAAAGTATATATACATGAAAACAGAATAATTGGCCACATACAATGGTGTCTAAATCAAACATAACTAATATATGCCATAAGTGAAAAAGACAATATCAAAGGTGAAAAAATATTCCATGCATGTGACTGTGCTTTAAGCTGGAACACACACGTGATCTCCACTTCTAAGTGCAAGTACTCTCCTTCAAATGGCAGCAATGCCTGCTCACCTCCCTTCCTCGACCCACACAGGGCCTCAAAGCAGTTACCACCTCAGTGGTGTATTCCTCTGGCAGACTCCTTAATCCTCCTCCTCTCTTATGCAACTCATAAAAAGACAAGAAAGCCTTCCATAGTGTAGTAAGTTTTAATAGGCAAAGTAAAAAGTGACAAAGTAAACCACTCACATGCTCCTTTCCATAAACAAGTGTTTTTCCCAGCCTGTGGGTAGATATGCATGGGGGAATCCAATATGGCCACTGCGTCCGGACATACGTCACCAGGAAGTAGACAAACCGACGCGTTGCGTCACGTGCGTCGTGACTTCATCAGGGTCACGGTGAGGTGTGCCTGGCAGTACTTCCAAAACAGGCTCAAAACAGAGAGGGAACCTAAAATACTCAGCAGCTCCTAAAGGGGTAGCGCTACACCAGTTTCCTATGATTTTGCAAAAAAAATAAAAAATAAATAAATAAAATTAAAAATGTATGACGCTAAAAATAAAATTATTTTCTAAGCAACTATCTAAAATGAAACATCTAAAATGAAATGTTGAAATGCCATAATTGTTCAGTATGCCTCATGTTTACACTTGAAGTCAAACTTGACCTGAAAAATAAATCTTTCATAAATCTCATTTTTGGACTTGCTTGCCTTAAGGTGGAATATCATTTGCAACAATTTGCTGTCTCCTTGTTAAAAAGTAATAGCTACACATGTTCTGTTCTTTATATTGCCAGACATAATAAAATGCCCTTGTCATCTCGAGTGACCTTGAGAAAGACTTTTCTTTTGTGATATTCAACACACAGAGAATCTTTAGTGTCATTGAATGCCTTTCTCTAATTATGGAATGGCATTTGACCTAACCTTTATCATTTTCTCTTCTTGTACTGGCTTTAAGCTAGAAAATAACCATTAAGTAAACTTTAGTGTTTTTGATGCACTTTAATAACACCAAGGGTATGTTTTCTGCAAAACTGGCTTTATATTTGACACTGGTGTTGGTTTATTGGCCTTTCACAGTCCTCAAACTTTGCCTATTCCAAATTAGATGTGTTTTCTTCTACATTATGGACATCATCCATTACAATTCAATCTAAGTTTACCAATGTATTAGCAAGAAATAGAGTTCTATTTCACTCCCACAAAGAAAATTGAGATGTCTCACTAAGCATTTTAGTGCAGTTCGCAATGCGTGAATGATACAAATGGCATGATATTTAACTGTTCACCCCCACCCCTCACACCAAAAAAAAAAAAAAAAACAAGCAATTCTGCTGATAGGTATAGACAGTGCTTTTTTACATTATAAAGATGAATCTATTAATTTCCTGCTTTGTGTCTTAATATATTTTCAAAGACTGACTTTAATTGCATTAATTTACTTGGTGTCATCAAGATTAATGAACACGGCACTGGAAATCACTTTGCAAGATGGAAGAACTACTGTCCTTGAAACATATGCAATATATACAAATGTGAATATTATATACTTTTTTTTGGGGGGAGGGGGATAAAACCGCTGACAGTACACATTGAGCACACAACAAGATGAATAACCACTATGTAGTGATATGCTTAGTCAAAACTTTTATGACATCATGCTGGTTTGTATGATGTGTAACAGCACACAAGTAAATAGCATAGTATTTTCATAATTAATTAAAAACTGTATGTAATTGTGTTAAATGTCAAGTTGGTTTTCTGTACAGATCTCCCACTGCTTTTCTACTTTTATTTTGTTTGAATCCAGGGAAAAATATAAGGGTCAATTTACTAGAGGAATGGAAAATACTAGCTTAGATTACTGGATATGGTTCTTGTTTGCTAATTACTGGATAACTGAAAATGAAAATGATGCAGCTCAACCTCATTTAATCTGTATTCTCCAGGGGTGGACTGACCATTTGGAAACTCGGGCACTGCCTGAGGGCCCGGGGTCAGTAGGGGGCCCCATGAGATGCCCCTGGTACCTTTTTCATAGGCTTTTTTTTGAGTTTGGGCAAGGACACAGGGGCTCCATGATCCCCTATTACCCGGGGGCCCCATGAGTTGTCAGTCCGTCCCTGGTATTCTCTACACCTTTAGCAAATTTACATCAAAGGATAA